TGGGCGAAAGACTTGAAAATGGGCTGAGGTTTGGGAGGCGCCTTCCCGAATAGCAATTAGAGGAAAGGAAGATGCCGCGGCCTGTTGCATCACAACTGGCCCCCTCCAGTGTCTCCACGAGCCCCGAGTCCGACGGCCCCGTGTCAAAGTGGGGACTGAGGTGATGTAAGGTGGGCCGCAAAATATGGACCCGGGCCGTCCATTGACTCCTGCTGTTTCGAGACGCACCTCAGAGACGGAACTTCGATCACCAAGGTCACGGTATCCTAATTACATAATACGCTTTTTCATTTACCAACGCCAACTTCTCCCTCTCAGAGTCTGCTAGGGCAGGTCCTTCCGAATCCCGGTATCCGTACAGAGGTATTCAAACTACGTACCGATATCCGTACTCTTCAACCTATTTCTGCAATCCATCTGGCGGAACAAAGAATGGGGAACGACACTGATACTCTGACGGCATTGGAAAACGACCGACCCTGGCCAGTGACCACCGACCAGCTTTTCCGAAGTGAAAACTCAAGTCCACGTCTGGTCTGGACACACCTGGCATCACCGGACGGCACACGGCACGGTACAGAAATACAGGGCAGCGATACCTCGTCAACATCGAATCAGTACGAACGCCTCCTACCAACAACACATGCAACCCGCATATCTCGCCCCAAGTGACGATGAACCGCGCATGCACATCACATTGCACTACGCAATCGCGCCCGTCCTCTTTCGTCTCATCTATCTCCCCTCTCTCAGCCGTCTGCCGCGCACGCCAGTGTTGGCTGCAGACATGCTAATGCAGGCTCGATTTCCACTTTGCATCGCACCCTTGAGCCCTGTCACTTTCGTCCCTCGCCCTGTATCCGTACTTCGTACAGATTACAAACGCCATCGAAGAAGACTGAGCAAGGTCCCTCGTGGACCCCAACTTGAGAGACCACAGACACCCAAGGTGCCTGGTACCAGCAACAACGCTCAAATCGAAATATCTCAGAAACGGCACGCTTCAACTTTGCAGCCCTCGATCGCTGTCCTTGGCCGCAACCCCGGACCAGCATCCAAGACATTTTTCGAAGCTGGCCACTCCATCATACGCACACGCAGTTACGGATGCTAGCTACACTTCGGAGGACGATTGACAACATGCCGCACCGCATTCATGGGACGATGTTCCTGCGCTTGGCTGGTGGGACTTTCGACCAATGTCCGCTCCTAGCCCACAATGGGACATCAATTGGTCCGAACGACTGACAAGGTCGCCCCTGCCCCTCAATTGTCCTGGGACGAATGTCAGCCTGGATCGTCGACTCCTTCACATCACCATGCAGCACTGCGGTATCCGTATCCGTACGCTAATTGCTTGGGTACGCACCAACTTCGCCATCCTCCCTATCCCGCCTCTAGCCAGCAGATTCCGGTCAACCTGCACCCTGACATGCAGAGCTGGTCGCCATCTCTCCCTGTCGTTGTCTTGGGTTCTGCCACCAAAAGATTTCCTGGCCCGAGACGGAGGGTGGAAAAGAAAGCTAGCTGGTTGGCATCATTGGGGGCCAGCACGGGGTTTATCGGACCCAGGACCGAGAACCAACATGGCGGAGAAACCTACATACGCTATCCGTACCTGACCTTGCCATATTAACATAACCGCAGCATTGGACTCCAGCTCAGTATTGAGGCGCCTGGACTTTGCCGCGCAGCCCCGAGCTCAATCCTCAACTTCTCAAGACGTCGTGTGTACTGTGTATCCGTACAACGGTCTTCAGCATTGTCACCTGACAAAGAAGGAGAAATGCGGCACTTACACGACCGCATCGATGTCAACGCCCGTTTCTCGATCCCGTCGACTTTCGTTCCAGTTTCTCCACCCGCCTGACATGTCACTACCTTAAACTCTGGCGACGGCGGCGACGGCAGCTTCAACTCATTTCTCGTCCCATCCCAAGGACCGTCGCCTTTAAGCATGGGCGCTAGCGGCATCAGGTTCCCAGGGCTAAGAAAGCTAGATGATTATGCTGCTGCTCTTTTGCGGTCTGCCTTCCCCTCTCTGTTTCCCGCCGGGCTACACCTTACCACCATGTCTGTGCTCCCGCTCCAACCACACCTACTCAACACCCCCACCGATGGTCCAGCTCTTCAACACATGGCCCTAAAGGCTGGGTGTGGCTGTCTATGAGGGTGTCCCTATGGTTGCGGGCTCCTGTGGGTGTTGGCCTCCTCTTCCGTCTCCAAGTCGCTGGCTCCATGCCCCGACAGCCTGGGTAGTCGGAAAGCCTCTGACTGCTTGTCTGGCCGCCGCCGGTCTCATCTGGTTTGGTCTGGTTCCATTGCTGAACGGATACTCACTCCGTGTAGACCTACCAATATTCTTGCCTCTCTGCCTGCAAATACGGCTAAGCCACGCCGTGTCCATATCAGTGCTGCAAACGGAAAGACAGAAACCTCTGGCAGATACTTCACTTGCGCCTCAATTCTCTCTCCAGCTCCAAGTCGGTCAAGATCTCCACGTACGATGCGGATGGCGGCCGACGAACCACGAGCACTTTTCTTCGTCAATCTCTGCCGTCTTAGACAGGACCAGTCCCACATTCCTTAAGAGTGACCTTTTGAGCTGAGCTCATAGGCTCGACAAGTTACCCGGCCTTGAACGAATCCGCGCTAGACTCGCATGGAAGAACGTGTCCACGAACTTCAAACTGCCATACAACCCGCTGTGCTGATGCCATTCAGCGCGTATGCCATTCAGCGCGTATGCGAATTCGTGCGGACGGACTTGGGAACTCAGGTTTCATACAACGGGCCTGGCGACCACGAATGCGCGCGTTAACTTGGTCTAGGACTAACTTACTAGTGAGGCGCCGCCATCCGTCCATGCCAGGGCGACTGCGCCTAGCTGTCACGGCTCTCCAGTCGCGCAATTCGAGATCAGGTACGACACATCAGATCAACAACAGGAACCTCCACATCATTTCGAGCTAGCCCAGTGTTGATCAAACTCCCAGCAGGAGGAGCTGACAGGGCCTTGAATTCGAATGTCCTATTTTGCCAACCCCAACCCCAGCAAGCCTAGTCCAGCTTCCACCCCACCAGCCTGGGCGCTCGCTTTGGCTCGTTACATCACCTTGAGCGGAAGACCCTTGTCTCATTATTTACCAGGGCTTATCTGTGCCTCTTCTTTCAGATTTTGACGTCCAGTTCTGCTCCAAAGTCACACGCACGCACCTTTGGGCTGGAATCTGCGGCTTCTATCTTGTGGTTGAGTCGAAAACGTCCGTCATCGTCATCTCACCGACTAGGCCAGGTGACCCGCACCGCTCTCCAGATGCTAAGCGTTTGAGTAGACGGCAGCACCAAGCCCAGTACAGCCTGAGATACCAAACCGTCAAGGTCTAGGGCAGCCAGCCGTTGCCACGTCCCTCAGTCGGCGCGGTTGGTGACTCCATATCAACGCCTTGGATCGGCCTCTTCACAGTGTCTGCCACGCCTCAGCCGCCCCAGTACTCACGCGCCATCCCGGAACTCTATTCGACCCAGGGTAGTCTTTTCAAACCGCTTCTCCCGAGGCTAGGGAACCTCCAGGACCTTGAGCTCACAAGGGTGACTGCGCCAAAAACCCCTTCACCCCGCGCCAGCCTCTTTCATCATTTTTTCAGAACGACAGCTCTCTATCCTGGGCTGTTCTTCTGGCCAATATTGCTGGGACTGCTTAACTCCCGCACGGCATATCGACATATCACTTTCACGGCACGGGCAAGCTTGATGAGTGCCTATCCGGTCATCAACTCCTCCACTGCCATCACCACTAAGCAATATACCTGATCCTCGTCAACATCCCACGCCCGGAACACCCGATATATCTACGTATTCAGGTAGTGTCGTCTCACTCTTGGACTCCGCCGGCGCTGAATCTTCGGATCTGTCCTGGCTCATCTGTCGGAATTTCGCTCTCGACCCTGTCTCTCGATTTCTGCCCCTTGTCTGACCCAAGTCAGTGGAACCGCGGCATATCAACGTCAATTCCCTCACACTTGATATAATTCTGCTCCTCTCCCACCAGGGTAGAGTTCACGCCACATTGGGATCTCTCACGACGCCAATTACTGGAGCCAAGGCGTTCTGGCCAACCACAGCGGCTTCTCCTCTCCTCTGCAGCCGTTCAGGGCTTTCGAATTTTACCGGGATTATCTTGGGCACGAAGCCCAGACAGCACAATCTCGCCATCTCCTTCTAGGTCTTGACTTCCATTCCTAGCATAGCACCTACAAGGTGCCCCAGCCGTAACGTCAATCCCGCGAGCAGATCACCAGAGCGCGGCCTGAGATACCCGCCCTCCCCAACTCATCGAGTTACATTTTGCTCTCCTAGGAGACCCACTGGCCATCACCGACCACTGTGCTAGCCGTCGAAGGAGCTGTGGCTCTTGACGACCTAGACCCTCCTCAGAGCGGCACAGTTCAACCTCTTGTGTCCCCAAAAATAAGGCCCTCCAGCCTCTCGTATGCGGTGGTTCCTCGCGCCTACGCAGACCCCTCGACCAACAGGTTCAGCTAACGGCCGGTGTCCTTTGTACGGCAGTCTTCGACTCTACTAATTTGTGGCTACCGTCTTGCCGGAACAGCGTTCATGTACTGGTTTAGCAACCAAGCATTCGTCATAGGAAGCCTTGGATCCAGTATTGTTGTACCAAATCTGTCTCTCTCAACTCAGACAGACCGTCTGCTTCCAAGCCTGGACATTCTCAAGCTTTCTCCTCTATTCCCTAGCGGCTTTCGAAAGACTCGCTATTTGATTCTTCTGACAGACAAGGATACCAACGCACGTCGTGCAGTTGTCAACGCGACCTCTGTAGCAATCAGCCAAGCCAAAGGGATACAGGTCCGTTATCCGCGCATGTGCGGATAGAGTATGCCAGCTTTGTAGGAAACGCTGACACACGCTCCACACTACCTCCCCCTCCCCTTGCCTCCCAATCGAGAGCACGACTCCAGTTATCTTCAACCGCGACCATGGGGGACTATTACCACCACTTCCTCACCTCCATGTCGGGGGTGGCAGCCAGCCAGAACATGAGCCCCCAGGACACACATCCCCCTCAATTCCCTGGCGGCCAAATGCCCATGATGGGCGGCGTTATGCCGGGGCCATATCCTAACTTAGGGTATTTCACTGGTTTCCCTGACCCCGTTGGACTCGGCGCTCCCAAATCTTCCCGAAACCGCAGAAAGTCGGCTCCAGGCTTGGATCATGTCAAACACCGCCGCACCAGGTCTGGTTGTTATATGTGTAGAAGCCGGAGAGTCAAGGTGGGTTAACGAACCCGCGTTTTGCCCTTCGCATTCTAACCATCACACCAGTGCGACGAGACCAGGCCAATTTGCGATAGTGTGTAAACCCAGCGTCCCCGAGGCAGTATAGAACAGCTAACATGATCACAGGATGTCGGAAGGGTAGCCGTGAATGTATTTATCCAGAACCTCCAGCGCCCAAAGGCACGGCAGGACAGTCGTCGAAAGACGCAGCCAACACGCAGCAGGCCAGTCCGGATTCGTCGAATGACCCGGAAGATGGCGATGAGGACACAGAACCTGCCGGGCTTGACACCATTCCAGATGAGGACGAAGGCGAAGAAGAGTCTTATCAAAAACAGTTCGCCGGGCCGAGTAGAAGCAGTACAGCGTCTTCGTTCAACCTCCAACGGTCAGGCGGAACCCGCGGAAGCTCCGAGACACCATCGCATGAAGGGACCAAGAGTGCCTCGCCGTCAGCATCGGTCGGAACATCGAGTAGTCATACTACGACATATGCAATGCCGGATTTGGGAGTCCTCTCTGTAGGGAGCCACGCCGACTGGTCGAACCTGTCTGCAGATATTCGACAACATCTCGAATATTTCTGCGAAAACGTCACGCACTACCATTACTGCATGCTCACCGACACGCACGAAGTGTTTCGCGTTATTCTTCCCAACTACGCGTTACAGAGCGAGGCCCTTTTGTATGCGGTGGTCGGGTTTGCCGCATACCAGCGTACACTACAGGACCCCAATGGGAAAATGGAGGATTTCCTGAAATACTACAACAAGAGCGTCATCTTGCTGCTGAATTCACTAAAAAGGAAGGAGAAACATAACATTTGCATGCTGTTGACAGTTCTCCAGCTAGCCACGATTGAGGTACGCGTTGCTTCAACCATTGCGTATGAACGTTAGTTGACAGCAGGAAACCAGGAATACTTAGGCGACTGGATCAACCTCATGGGACATCAAAAGGCCGCTTACGAAATGCTGACGCACCTATTCACCCCTGATACCGCCAATCAAAGTGCTCTTGGTCGGATGATTGTCTCATGGTACGGACGCTTCGATATCTTCATTGCCCTGATGGGCGGGTTCCCAACGATGCTGCCAAAGCATTGGTTCACTATCAACGTCGAGTACTGCGACAAACAAGCCGCCATCGACGAAGACAGCTTGCCCTGGAAGATGGAGGCAGAATCGGCACGTCTCAGGGTCATCTCGCGGGATATGTCGACGTTGTTTGCGCGGGGGAGCAGAGGACAGATATCGCCTGAAGATTTCGCCGTCGAACACGAGCGCATACAAAAGGCGCTGCATGACTGGAAGGACGGTTGGGATCAAGAGATGACCGATCCTGCCCATTTCGTCACGGACTTCAGTCACGCCCGTACCTTGACCGAGGATGATATCGTAGACCCCTTCGCGCCTGGGATTCTGTACGACTTTCCGGTGTTTCCCACAACCATGTTGACCGGCGAATGGAATTCTACGACGATGATGCACAAGTGCCAATCGCCGACGACGAAAAGGGCTGAACTTTACGAGGAGCTTGGGCGACACGCGTATGCCATTTGTCAGATATTCGAAGCTGTCGAAAACTGGCCTCACAAGCCGAAAGGCAGCCTTATTCAGATTCAGGCATGCGTTGCCCTATCCGCATTATTCCTGCCTCACGATGCCAAACATCACATGTGGATCAGGCGCAAGTTTGCCTTATTGGAGACTATGGGGTGAGTTGCCTTCGCCTCTCGCCTTGGGCAGAAGCTGACTTTCTTACGTTTAGGTACATCCATCCAATCACACTTCGCTCCAAGATGGCAGAGCTCTTTCACGAGCCGTCCTGCGTACGCTGGTGGCTACCAGACGACGAGGGCTTCAGTCCCATCCTGCAGAGCGTCCGTGCATTTGCAGATGAGCGCAACGCGAACGCGATATCGACGCAGGCCGAGAATCTCCGGGAAGTACGACACATCTTTGCAAAGATGCAAATGTACGACGACCCGTCCGCCCAGGGTGGCCAAGGCATGGCGGCCTGATCTGGACGGGATCTTTCCGTCGTTCGGTGGTCGGGGTTGGGGAGAGGAATCGGATCGCGATATCCTAGTATCACCGTACGGGCATCGCGCAAGTTCGTCTAGCAGAGGATGATGCGCAGAGATTATAAAGAGGAGGATAGGGAATCTTTTCTATTTACGAGCTCGATTTACAGCGGATGATCAGGTCCAGCCCTGTCACGATCTGGCCAGGGGGGCCAAGAGCATTGTTCAGCCACATTTTTTGTTTTCTTCACCCCGTCGTCATCACTCGTCCTTTCCCCGTTCACCGATTCCCATTCAAGATAGCTCAGGCCATGCCTTGCGTTGCGGGCCACGCATTTTGGCGTTCACTTCACATTACACATTGGGGAATCACTGTACCATAGCTTCCCCTTCCCCCTTTTTTTTCTTGAACATTTCCCCACAATCCCAAGTGCATAAGAAGAAAAGCCCGCTAGACATAGACATGGTCTTGTTATATTGATACACTGTGATGGGGGGTGAAACCATCACGATATTAAAAGTACTATACATCATCGTCCTCATTCATAACAGGAAAAGGTTTCTGAAGCCTCCAGGGCCAACAAGTGCTCTGGGGGAGAAGATGTGGTCAGGCCGTAATGGTCTTTGTTCAGAAGTAGGAGACATTAACATCAAGTCTCTTTCTTTTCGTCCTCGGGCTTGGATTTCGATTCCGCCTCATCCTTCTCGGGTTTGCTCTCATCCGTCGTCGTCTCTGTCGTTTGTTCGGCTGGCTTGGTGGACTCCTGGGCAAAGTCCTTGGTACTGACGTCGCAATCCACTTCAGTTGTTGAAGAGGACTCCTCGTCCTTCTTATCTTTGCTGGCTTCTTCCGCCGGGGTTTCCTTCGTCCCCGGCTCGCCAGATGAGGGCTCCTCCGCCTTCCCTTCTGCCACCGAATTACTTGGTTCCTCTTCCGTGAGTACAATGGTCTCATCCGCGTCGTCGGAGACCGGATCTGCCTTTTCGGGCTCGTGCTCCAGCTTGACCTCGTGCACCGTCGGCTCCATCGGCTGTTCCTCGGGCGACGGGACATCCTCCATGATCTCCTTCTCGACGATAACGGGCACCTCCGCGACCTCGGGCTCTTCCTCGACCGTTTCCGGCGCAGAGATGTGCATGTCTCGCATCTTGCTCGCTACGTCGTTGTCCTCCTCCTCGGCTTCCACCACAGTCGTCACCGCACTGCCGACTGAAGGACTGGCCCTGACGTGGCGTCTTGTGGCGGTACGACCGACGGGCTGGTAGTTATCGTCTTCGCCCTGAATACCCTCACGAGGCGGAGGCTTGACGATGGACATGGGCAGCTGCTTCTTGTCCGCGCCGTTACCGTCAGGCACAGCCGTGGCCGTTTCCAGGCCCTCGGCTTCAGGCGGCAGCTTGTAGTTCTCGGCGGGGAGGAGGTCGTACATGTCGCAGACGGTCTTGAAGAAGACGTACAGCCCCGTCTGGCCCTCGATCGTCCAGAAGACGGTACGGTGCTGGAACCAGGCGTGCGCGAAGATGCGGTGCAAGCGGCGGAAGACGTTGACGAGGTTCTTGACGGCGACGCCCTTGTTGTGCACGTCCGAGAGGACGACGAAGCGGGAGGGGAAGATCTTGGGGTCCGTGACGATATTGGCGGCCCAGTCGAGGGTGTGGCAGCAGTAGTCGATGGCGCAGCAGCTCTTGGGCTGCTCGTGGACGGCGCAGAGGAACTGCCACTCCGAGGCGCGCATCTCGGGACACGTTGCGGCGCTGCAAGGCGGGGAGTCGAAGAGAAAGCCCACGATCAGAGTGTTGCATTGCGAGATGAGGAAGCGGCACAGCTCGTAGAGCCAGAGAGTGCGGTCGATGCCCGGCGGGGGAGTGGCGAGGTGGATTGCGGTCGTGCGGGTTATCGGGGTGCTGTTACTGTTCGTGTGGTAGTAGTGGAGCGCTGCGAGGTGTTCTTGGAGCTGGAATGCCGAGTCGAGCTGTGGGAGACAAGTGTCAACATCGAGACCATTGGGCGCTTAAGGAAGTCTGGTCTTATCACCAGCCGACAGGACGAACCTCGTTAAGGGGGACCAGCGGCGGTCCAGCTGCCACGTCGGCAGCTTTGGTGCCCGGGTGCACTCGACGCCTCGAATTGGCGTCTATCAGGGACTGCTCCATCGGGTTGGCCTGGCGGTTCGACTGCGCGCCCATCGAGGGGGACTTTGGGCCGATCTGGATCTCTGCGGGCGGCGGCGGGCTGGGCAGCCGGGGCGAGCTCGGCGCCATTGACATGATGCGAGTACGTGTTCGAAGTTGGGTGAACGTAAGGGAGAGAAAGCCGCCGTGAGGTAGTCCCACAGGAACGAGATCGTGGCCAGATGAAGAATTGTTGTTGTGATGTCGTGATGGTGTCAAGCGAAAAGTTGACCTGACGCGGGCGGCTGGAGCTCTCTGTCTCTCCAAGGTCACAGACAGCCAGCCACACAGCACGCCGGTTGAACCTAAGCACCTCGGGCACGATTTGGGGGCCAGAGCTTCCTTCCTGCTGTTCTCTTACACTGGACGAGCCCCTAGTCGGGCTTAGTCAGGATCTGTCCTTTTCCATTTTTATTTTTCTTTCCCCGGCCCCCGGGCCAATATTAGACTGCCGTGTGGGTCCAGACGACGTCAAATTCGCTGCTCGAAGGAGGTACGTACCTGACTTTTACGAGCTGTAATGCGTCTCGTTCTCAGTGGCCTGGCAACTTCGTTTATTCATTTTCTCGAAAGGCGTGGTTTACACACGGAATCTCACGGAGACACATACTTTTCAAGAGACGTCGACTTTGTTTTCTCTCCAGAACAACGCCTTTCGAGATTATCGCAATTCTACTCAGAAGAGACTACTGGTCCGAGCACAGTCGCAGGGTTCCCCTCCATCCTGCACCATGGATTTTGACGATGATGCCCCGCCTGATCTGGTCGACGCCGGAGCCGTCCCGGAGGACATCCCGGAGACCGTACTACCTGCCTCCGAGAGGCAGATCAAAGTCCCCATCACTATAGTTACCGGGTACCTGGGTGCCGGAAAGACGACATTGTTGAATTACATCTTGACGGCGCAGCATGGGAAGAAGATTGCTGTGATTATGAACGGTTGGTTTCATGAAATGACGTTGGTCCTGGGAACTTCACTGACTTTTCTCGCAGAGTTTGGAGACTGTTAGTGAGAAACCTTCTCGTGGGCGCCTATAGACTTACTGAAGACATTAGCACTGGACATTGAAAAGTCTCTTACCGTCAACAAGGGCGATGAGCAGGTTGAGGAGTGGCTCGAGGTTGGCAACGGCTGCATATGCTGCTCTGTAAAGTGAGGAGTACTGCTCAACATGTCACCATACTCAAACACTCATGTTCATAGGGACACTGGCGTCAACGCCATCGAGTCACTCATGGAGAAGAAGGGCGCCTTCGACTACATCCTCCTCGAGACCACCGGCCTCGCAGACCCCGGCAACCTGGTACCGCTGTTCTGGGTTGATGACGGGCTCGGAAGCACAATCTACCTGGACGGCATCGTCACCCTTGTAGACGCAAAGAACATCCTCCGCAGCCTCGACGATCCATCTGGAGAGATCAAGCTCGAAGACCAGGAAGACGACCACGGCCACGGCCCGCTCATGACGACGGCGCACGTGCAGATCTCGCACGCTGACGTGATCGTTATCAACAAGGCGGATCTCGTCTCTGAAGAGGAGCTGAAGCAGGTCAGGGCAAGGATACAGTCCATCAACGGGCTGGCCAAGATTCACGTCACGCAGAAGAGCGAGGTACCCAGGCTTGAGGGGTTCTTGCTGGATCTACATGCGTATGATCAGGTGACGGAGCTTGATACGAGTCAGAAGGGGCACAGTCATTTGGACTCCGTAAGTGATGTGTATGTGATGAGGTGCCTGTCGCTGACTTTCATGCAGACCATCTCGACTGTCTCGATACCGGTGCCTAAGCTGGCGCCTGGACAACTGGCCAACATCGACAAGTGGCTGAGGAAAGTGCTCTGGGATCGTCGGCTCCCCGGCGACGATAAAACGGTGGTGGACGTGCACCGGTCCAAGGGACGCCTGGTTTTTGAGAACGGTGACGTCAATCTCATCCAGGGTGTGAGGGAAATCTTTGAGATTCTGGACTCGCCTGACCAGTCGCGCGAGGCGACAGGGGAGGGCAAGATCATTCTCATTGGGAGATATTTGAAGGATGTTGACTTTGAGAAGAGTCTTCTAGATATCCTCAAGTCGGACGCCTGAATATAAAACTCATCTAGAAGGACGGCGTTGGAAACGTGGAGACGGCCTCAAGTCGAAAACCCGTCACGTTCTCTCCTTGCATGCCAAAAGTTGCATATTTGCGAGTGACACGTCGTCTTGTGACACAAGACCCTAGTGTTTGATGAAGTTGGTTTTGGTGATACCACACAGGCGGGCCGAATCTGCGGTCGGTACGGCCCAGCGAGTACTTCACAGGAATTGAGGCTCGATCAAGGCCCCAGCTTGTATTGCTTGCATTCACTTCCAGTCCCCTAAGACCTAAGGTACGATGCTTCCAATGAGGCCTAGACAACCGGCGGACCCGGACAGCGACACGATGCAAGTCATAGATCTGAAAGCAAATCGTCCCTGACAGGGCTGGACGAAGATAGACATGGGTAGCGAACGCAGATGCCATGGGTAAGCGGTGACGCCGCAATAGACTCTGGACCCCTACGATCATCCCATGTATGTTCAAAGGAAGCGATGTCAAAAAAGCGTGTAGCGCGATTTCGCACTGGCTACAGGGGTTTTGGAGGGGCTCCAGTTGACCTGCCCTGGGCACAGACCATCGGATCCATCTTCGCCGGTCCTCCGTGCGTTAGCGTTGGCCGGGCCACTCGACATCTTTACGCTGTACACCATCAATCCCCGGTAGAGCTTCATTCGTTGGTAGCTTCGTCGACAGAATAATTTCTCGAGCGCATCCGAACCATCACCCGATACGAATTGAGCCCCGAACCGCCCACAACGACGAACAGAACCACGCGATTCTCGACTGCGAATCAATACGCCACGAACCCTCATCATGAATCGACCAGGTAGGCCTGATCCTCGTCCGTCTCCTTTCAGCCTTGGGGTACCCCGCCGTTTGCATGTCCATCAAGGCCCTTTGGATCCTGTCGCGCCCTCCAAACCGGACTTCCACGCTTCTATATCATCTATATATCTTCGTAGTGTGTCGCGATGATGCACGCGACTCGCCACTTCTCCTTCGACCTGCCCACGAGGCCCCGCCATCGCCAGCCGACGTGGAACGTTTTCGCGCCGCCAGCCCAAGTAGCCGTAAAAACTATGATGGATGGACATACAAACGGAATATATCTGCCACATATACCTCTTCTACTTCGGATATAAACCCCATGGATCTATCTACAGCACAAAGCCACGCTCCATGATCTCAAAGCTGACAATGGGCGCCACCAGTAGGAGCAGTTCCTCAATCAATGCGAGGCATACCGACGGGCTTTGGTGGCCAGCAGCAGCAACAGCAGCAGCAACAACAACCAGGCAGGACAGTGTCAAACCGGTTACCGAATGGCAAAATAGGTACGAAGAAGGCCTTGTTCAGGCGCACATGCTAGAACACATGGATGAAAGGACAAGTGACGTTAACATGGAGTGCTTGGAAACACATAGGCAGTAATGGAAGTGGATGGGCATTTGGAGGAGGAGTGCCTATGGGAGGTGCTGGTCTTCAAAATCAAGCTCGTCAACTTGGAGGCAATGTCAGTTTTGCGCAGAGCTTGAGCGGGTCGCAACCAGCAACACCGCTGGACCTGTCGTACGTTCCTTCCCATTCCCTTTGACCTTGACTTGTCTTTACATACACCTTCTGCACCTTCCCTCACCCACGTCTCCCTTTTTCTTATTCTGCGTCTGCACTTTCTACCGCAAACCACCATCGCCCACAGCAACAGCGATACCAAACAGGAACGAGGCCTCTTCCCTTGCTGAATTACTGTAACACGTCTTGGGATCTTCTTGGTCTTTTCCTCCTCCTCGTTATGGGCAAACGCAAGCGCATTCTCCTACAACGAAGCAGAAAGGCTGCAAAAGACAAGATGGCCTCTAAGGAGCCACCCTCCTCACCTGAGGAGCCCAAGAAGGGCTATGCTGAAGTTCTCAAGACGTAATTCTTCTCTCCTGGCGTCGCCAGCTCTCCTATTGCTATATTCCATCTCTTCTCTTACCCCGTTTTCCTTGAATACGAGACGAAATCTTGGGTACGATGATACTGACTTTTGAAGTAGCGAATTTCCCTCGCTCTCCAACAACGCCCAGATGAACACTAGTGGCCAAGCCAACATGTGGTCTTCAACAGCATCGCGGAATCTGGGCAGCGGTCCGGTGCCGCGGAACCAGTCGACACCGCTATCCGCGCAGAGCGCCCAGGATGAGCTGTTCACTCCGACGTCGGCTCGTCAAGGCGGCTTCCGCTACGGCAACCAGAACAGCACAGGGGCGGCGGCCCAGGCGCAGTCCAACCCTGTGGATGACTTCCCACCACTGAACCGGAACGCGAACGGTGAAATCGGCGGCGAGCGGGGTGTCAACCTGATGCCCTCATTGGGCTTCAACAACCAGGCGGGTGGCGCCGCTGCTGCCGCTGCTGCGATGCCTCCTAATCGCGGCGCAGGAAACGGCCTGCTCAATGCGCTATCCGCAAACAGTAGGCCTTCAGATGGTCGCTCACCTTCTATTGCCAGCGCGCAAGGTATGGAAGAGTCCTGGCCTACTCTTATGCGCACATCACTCATTCTCGACTAGGTCAATCAAGGTCACAAGACGCGTCAGGCGAGGAGGATGTCAGGTCTAAAGCAGGCGCTTTCCGGGACGACGTGCCAGGCGACAGCTCATCCCAGAACGCCGAGAACCGCAATCCTCTCGGAGCTATTGGCAACGACTCACTAGCGGGCAAGGGTAAAGAGGAACAGGAGAGCCAATCTATCGAGGTGCAAGATCCTCTGGCTGGTCTGGCGCCAATCGACAAGTTTGGCATGAAGGGTCTGCGCATGTTGATGAACAACTACCCCAGCTACGGCGCCCTGGTGCAGGGCATGGATCCTAACGACTTCAACCTGAATGTCAACTCCCCAGAGTAAGAAAGCCATGCATGCACTCGTGCTGGCAACTTCGGCTAATTATGACAGGCCCATCTCGACCCAGATCTATTCTCTCTTCGACGACACGCCGCCTAGGCCCGCGATCCCGAATGTCCGTCTCCCTGAGTGCTACAAAGTTACGAACGTGCAGCCTATCGATACGAAGATTCCGTCGTTTAACGAGGAGACGCTTTTCTGGATCTTCTACAGCTGTCCCCAAGACATGAAGCAGTTATTAGCTGCTAATGAGTTGTAAGAGTACTCTCATTCCGAATTCGAACGCCACTAACACCTTTCAGGCACACGAGAAACTGGCGATGGCACAAGAAGATGCATTTCTGGCTGACTAAGGACGAGCTTATGATGCCCGCCAGCCTCGGACCTCACCATGAGCGCGGCTACTACATCGTCTGGGACACTGCGACCTGGCGCAAAGAACGCGTATGTCTTTCCCCACTGTTACATCAATTCTCCAAAATCCGCAAAAGGCTAACGTAATATGCAGAGAGAGCTCACTCTCCATTACGGCGACTTGGAGACAAACCTGCCATTGACAGCATGAGTGCGCTTTCGGTGTTATGGTTCATAGGCTGTCTCGTCGACTTGACGAGGCTCTGAACGACTTGATATCTGGGTATCCAACCAAACAGGCGTTGAGTCATGTGGACACGGCATCATTTTACAGGCTTCTGGATTGAAGCTGGGGCAGGTGGCAAAAGGCTATCATGCTTAGTGTGTATGATTCACTGATTCATGGTTATTGTTTCGGCCGTCAACGAAGGGAAATAAAACGACGCTGCCGACTCTGCAAATGTTGTTTTCATGTTGTGTGTGACGTTTGAATTGCAGGCTAGCTTCGTTTAGCGCCTTTTGACGTTGCTCAAGCGGCTCTCAGCCCAAGGCACTTGTAGCGAGGCAAACCCGTCCGGGGCCAAACAACAGAAGGTAGGTGAACTACAGACTCAGTGACATTTGGTAGCTACTATGCAGAAGAAAGTTTTGCTTCTACAAAATGAACAAATCCATAGAAATCTGACAAGAAAGACATCATTCCACCAATCCATTGTTGAGAATAGCTGACGTTGCATGACCGGCTCTTAGCATCGCCGTCCGGCGGGACTGAAAGGATGGAAGTGCCCCGTGCACTCCTTCCTTGTGCGGAAACCTCCGGCCTCGCGCCACATAAGCTGCTAACCCCTGCTCCCTGAGCAAGGCTGATGAGTTCATCTCCATAAAAGCTGCCAGCTTAAGGTAACTTACCTGTCTTAACCGACCGCATCTATTACGCCCAACGGCGATCCCCCTCTCCGCCTCTGACTTCCTTCAACGAAAATCCCATGAGGTGCGCGAAAAGTCGACTTCCCGACCGAGGAACATAATCCCAAAAGACACTCGTCGCACGCATCCCCTCCGACCCCACGATCAAAGCACTCCGGCCAGTCCGGCAAACGACAAACACCCCTCCCTCGGTAACCATGGCGAACGAACAGATCTCCCTGCCGTATCTGATCGTGATACTGTTGCTCACGGCGTTTGTGATACGTTTCCTCTTCTTCTCGCCGTCCCCGCCCCCCTCGGCCTCGGTGTCCCGGCAGAGCACGCAGTCGGTCCTGCGCACGCGCGAGGCGGCGGTTGAGAGGATACAGCAGATGTTCCCTCAGGTGGACCGGAGAACGATTCTTTGGGACCTGCAGAGAAATGGTGGCAACATCCAGGCTACGTCTGAGAGGATCTTGGCGGGACGCATGGAGCAGGTGAGTCTTTGCTGCCCTATTCGATGGATTTGGCCGAGGACACATTTCTTGCCACAAGAAGCTGCTCGGTGCTCCACGTTTGACTATTTCGAGGCCTTGTACTACTTCGAGGGCAATTATGCTGACTGAAATACGAACTACAGCCCCCTGTCACGTTCCAACCCCCTCCGCCGCCGGGAACCAGCCCGGCGGCGGCCAGCGCCGCGACCGCAGCGGCATCCAAGGCGGCCGAGAAGCCTACGCAGCCGGATCTGATTACGAGATATAAGCTGCAGAGCAAGATCGCACAACAGCAAGCGGCGGAGGCGGCGACCGAGGCGGAAAAGGAGAAGAGCAGCAAGGGTTGGAGCTCGAACCGCGACGAGAGGCAGACGCTGCTGCAGAAGAGGAGGGACGAGATGATTCTTGCGGCGCGGAGGAAGATGGAGGCCAAGATTGCCGCGGAGAAGGCCTCGAGCTAGCCTCCGCTGGGGTAGGGGATATCAGCGTGTATTTGGATTTGGGCCGCGGGAGTGGCAAAATGGGATGGGCGGCAGCGGATTGTGCATTCGGAAAGGTGTATACACATTCACAATACTCACACAGCGACAAACACATAATAATCAGAACATCATCACCTTCAGCGCATACAATGTGGACAGACGCTTGGAGACACTGCTTACTACTGCAGTCACGCACGCCCGGGCACGATGCTGTCTAAACACCTCAGCACATGTAATGTATCGCTCTATTCCGCCGTTGTTCGATGTTGGGCGGATTCATCTCAAGGGAGAATTGACGGCGCGATGATCGACGACAGATGAGATGAGCATGTGCCTGGCGACAAGCACACAAGGCACGAGCTGACATACAGCGGTGAGACAAGGACCATTTCATTATTTGCTAACGATCCGGTCATGTTCTGTCGATGTCGTCTTGTGTCTACCAACTCACTAGTTGTGTCATGTCAGAGACTAGTTTGACGACAACCTTCAAGGAAATCCATGGTTGCAGAGGTAACTGGACAAGCTGTCTCCATATCTGACGAAACAAATTAATTGGTTGCGACTTTTCTCAGCAAAATGTTTTATACAAGTCGTTTTTGTTTCACAAATCAGAGTTGTATCACTTTTTCAGCCACATGTTCAACCCAAGTGAGGCTTTCTGCTTGTTCTCTCTACCTTACGGATGCCTTTTGTCGGAGCCACATCTCTCTACAGATACAGGCGTCTCCCAAGTCCTGAGTCAACTCATGTGCCTGACCGTCGTGTCTTACCGGGCTGCCTTCGCAACAGGCCCGGTTATCTCGCATTGTCTTACACGTGCGTCGCGGAGGTAAGGTAGGAAGATCAAGGTGCGCATTTTTGTTATCTTATCTATTCGAACACGAACTCGATCTTGGGGTGTTTTCAGTGGCATATTGGCATGAAGAAGAGTGGGAGGTTGGAGGATGGAAGACCCATCCAGCTTATCTCTGCTGGCGTCATTTGTGCATTCCTCGCGCAACCGACGCATGTGCTTCCAGGGATTCGGTGGTCTCCTTGTAGGACACATGAGCAGTTATGAACCATACTCGGGACCCCAGTTTCGTTTCCCGCTCTCACCTGCCAGTGGTGTCACGAATTGCGACGCCGCTACCCCGGGGAGGTCGGTGGTGGTGTGGCTTGACTCGGGTTCGGCAGCATCTTCGTCCTCCGCGAGATAAGGTACATGGAATACACGTGAGTGTTCCTTTACCTTGGTGTCGAGTCTAACTTACACACCGCCCCTTGGAGTGGGGGGGGGGGGGGGGGGGGGGGGGGGGGGGGGGGGGGGGGGGGGGGGGGGGGGGGGGG